TGAGTGGTGTATGATGAGTGGTGTATGATGAGTGGTGTATGATGAGTGGTGTATGATGAGTGGTGGTTGAACAGCTGTTGAATGTCCGTAACACGGAAGTTTTGCACACTAAACTTCCTTTGAACTTATTTTCTGATACTCATATCCACCCAATATAGACCTAGCAATTCTCTTTTTTGCCCTCTCACTGTGCACTCTTTGAGTGGAGAACTATCCCCCCGAACGCATGCACTGCCAACGCACTTCAGCGTAGCTGCTCGCGTGCACCGCCAGGCATAGTTGGCGAGACTGTCCGCGGATCTCAGCAGCATGACCGGTGGTGACAGCCCACCGATCACGATCTACTGCGCTGCAGCAAAAGTGTGCAGCCGTTTCCTTCCATTCGACGCCTTTCCTCCACCCCCGGCCCAGCTAGCTTTCGTCACCAACCCCCTGCCTCAAGTCTGCAGAGCCCTTGTCTGGACCAGGCCTTTGCTGGAAAACATGAAGGGCATCCAAGTCATCAGCTCTGGCAAAAAGGGCATAGGCTGCACTGCACATCTTGTGACCTCCAGGTCCAACTTGACCGTGAAGCCAGGGTCATCGTCACGACTTCACCCAAGAAGGAGTGTAGAACTGCTCCGGAAGCGTCCCCAGCCTGAGACTGCTGACATGGCATCTCACCCAAGCTCAGGCCAGGATGTAGATGATGCACCCCGGTTTGCCCACCATTTCTGGCATTGCAGGGCTTGAAAACAGATGTACCAGTGGCCCACACTGACCCTGGCCAGACATCTCATCCGGTTGAGGCCACACCTGACAAGCCACAACAGGCTCACCAACTGCCGACATTGAGGCCCCAGACCGAGATGGCCGAAATTGAGGCCAAACCTAAATCCGACCAAGGCACCTGTGCACATGAGGACAACTCAGCCACGGAAACTTCCCCACTACCAGCTCAACACATCGCTCGGTCGGCGCCGCTTGAGGTCTCTGTCAGCAGCTTGACTTTGACAGCGCACCAGCTGCCCCGGCACTGGAGTCAGACCAAGCTGAACCAACCAAGCTGGCAGATGAGTCTCTGTCACTTCTGACCTGGACGAGGCAGCCGAGGAGCACACCATGATGGCTGTGGAGTTCTTTGACCCGGCCTCTGACTGAGGCACGCGGCCTAGCTGACATGCCAATACGGGACTCGAAGCCCAACCAGCCCCTTTATACGTACACACATACATACATGCATACACATTCATGCATACACACAAACATACCTACATACCTGCATACTTGCATGCCTACCTACCTACCTACCTACCTACCTACCTACCTACCTACCTACCTACCTACACATCTACATATACATATACATATACATATACATAGATACATACATACATACATACATACATACATACATACATACATACATACATACATACATACATACACACACGTACGAATATACGTATATACGTACATACATGCATACACTTATACAATATCAGTCTTGATTGATAACACCTCCCTAGACCGCTCCATGACACGACGCCCACCGCTCCAGGTGTCAATGGCGTGACGGGCGCGGCGCAGGACCTGAGCAACGAGATCGCACGGGCGGCGGTGCTGAAGCTCCAAGTGAAGCGTGGTCCGGGGCAGATCTTTGCACATGCCGCTGGGGTCGCAGGGTTGGATGGGAAGGGGTTGGAAGGCATCCCGGCTAGACGCATTCGGGATTGTTTCTTTGGTGCTGATGGGTGTATTTTGTTGATTCCTGTCCCAGCAGTATGGAAAGTGAGTTACTGCGGAATCTTGATCAATAACCCCTGCGGGACTTAACAATGTACGTTTTTGCATTATGAGGACTTTCTGTTGTGACGTCAGTTTGGGGCCCAGGTCCAAATACATGAAAAAGGATTCCAACAGCAAAATAGCCTTTTAACGAACAACCATTGTTGTACGCCACAGCACCAGGTCAACCATATGTTTAATGTTTGAACCGATGGGTCGAAAGAACGTACCAGAACCTGCTATTGTGATATCCCTATCAACATCGCCTTAAACACACGCGAGTGCTTCGACACAAAATAGGTAGATATGCTTGAACCATCCTCAGCCATATATATAATATGCCTCTTATTCTTGGTCGTTGCGGGATTATAAAAGACATTTTTTCCAGCCGGCATCGTGTTCCCCTTAAAGCCGCTCCCGGCGCCCCAAAAAGGTTTTCCCTTCCACCACGAGATTCTGCTGAAGTGTTTCGACGCTGCTTACTCTCCCAGTGCTCCGAGGCGGTGCAGCGGTTCTTCGCGCCGCGCATGTCGCCGCTGCAGTGGCCGCCCATCCAGTGGACCCAGGCGGAGCACGGGGCAGCCGCCGGATCCGGGTGGAACGGGGTGGTGCCTGGCCTGGCTGGGTTGAATCAAGGATATGAAGGAAGGATGGAGGTAGGGAGCCGGTAGGACGTACCATAAATTGGTATGCAGAAGACGGGATCAAGGGACCAGGGATGCAATCCAAGGGATTTGGGACAAGGTGGGATTGGACGTAGCTGCCTAAGCTTGATGATGGTTGATGGTTGAGTTGGCGCCAATCCATCCGAATTCTTTCAACCTATCCCAACGCCTTGGCGCACATCAAGGCCCAGTGTCCGAATGCCGCAAGGCACTTATAAACTGCCAAAGGAAAGCAACAACACCCCTTTGCCCTTTTCATATTTCTTGGGATCTTCTTATATGAGCATGTTCGACTCCTTTCTCGCCTGCCGCCAGCGCGGCTTCGACTTTTGTGGGGGCCTCCAGGGGGCCTCGGCGCGCGCGCCGCTCTGGCCCTCGGAGCGGACGCAGGATGAGCAGAACGCCCTGAGGGCCGTCACGGACGAGGTCCTCCTCCTGGACGGCCGCACGTTGCAGGCTTCGGGGCCGGGCGATCGGGGAGACCGGGTCGGGGCGCACGTGTGAGGGTTGTGCAGTGCTGACAGCTGTTTGGTAGCATGCATTGCAGTAATGCCTATGGTCCTATGGTATCCGAATAGCTGATTTACCTGCTATGTTGGTTGGCAACCCCAGGTGAAAGCAGGGTGAAGACAGAGTGATGGCGACTGGTCCGGAGAGTTTTTTCTCAAAACTTGTGCCGGATCTACGTGTTCAAAGGGGTGCTCTATAGTGGAGATCCAGCAGTACGGCTCAGCAGGGGTAGCCTATCTGGAGACACCATAAGGAAGGTACCTGCTAGGAGGGGTTTCCCCAGTCTGCCGTTTCTCACGCATTTGGGTCCACACGAGGTGTTGGGCCGGATCAGCGTGCAGCACATCTCACAGCTGAACCTTTCGCACAGCCTTCCATTGGAGTCTTGGCCCGGTGGAGAGCGAGCGACCCGACAGACCCTTTTCGATCCTTTTTTTTCAGGGTCGCTTGTCCTTCTTCCCAGAGGGTCGTTTCCTGGGAGGCCTCCCAAAAATGTGGAAATAACACACACCCCAAGTGAGTCCAACAATGGAAAGTTCTGCGGCCGACGTAAAACCTGTCGCTTCGGACGGCGCAGAAAGCGGCTGTCCAACGTCATCCAAAGAAGGGAACCGCACGGAGGTCGAGGTGCTAGCAGGAAAGTGAGACGCGTCCACCTGAAGATCCATCCGAAGATCTCCGGAATCGGTTTTTCCCAGACGCTCCGTTCACAGCCCGACTGGGTCCCGAACCAAACCATAGGGTTTGGTCCAGACCCCTCATATCCGACCCTGCATATGAGGGTTCAGGGGCGTCTAGGTTCTTCCAAATTCCTGGTTGCGGCTGCGAGTTGTCGCCTGTACACTGGAATCATCATGCAGGATGGCATGGCCCATTCCAAAACCGGTTTTCCACTTCCATGACTCCAGAGAGCGAGAGAGTGTAGCTTATTCCGAAGAAGCCGAACGCCGAACAACCGTAGACTGGTCGAGCATGACCTGCTTGTAGAGGACCAATGCCGAAAACGGTCCATGTTCCAACATGTGAAGGGCGGGCTCGCAGTATTTGGAATAATCATGGCTGACATGGAGTTCACCACCTGTTTGGCCTTCGGAAAGTGGACATCCTTAGTCTTGGACTTCTACTTGACGTACTCATTCTTAACATGCACCTGGCCCGGCAAAGGGTCACCGCCTGCGACTTTTGAGTAGTTACATGTAGTTACTGTAGTTGCAAAAGCCTCGGACCAGTTTTCACGGGTCACAGTCAGCCTGCCTAGGCCGGCGACCCTAAGAGTTGCTGCTTTGGAACCTTTTCCCCCGCGCAGAGCGGCAGCAACAGCCCAGCGCCCTGGGCAGAATAGGGCGGACTCCAGGGAGTGGAGGAGGTAGCGTCCTTGCTCCGTTCGTAGCGATGCCAGGAGCCCCTACTAGTGGCGTCCTTGCTCCGAACGCCCCAGCCAGGGGTCCTGGAGGGGGGGGGCGTTCCATTGCCCCTTAGGAACTCAGAGGTGCTGCATGGGGTGTGTTCCGTCACGATTGTAGCCAGGTGGGTCGAAGGGATTTCACCGGGGATTCGAGCTTCGGCTCGCTCCGACCGCAGGCGATGATCCGCTTCTTCAACAGCTGCGCCACCCAGGCGCGACCCTTGGTCACCAAGGGTCTCTTCTCGGCCGCGGCGTGGGCACCTCGGTTCGACATGGCGCCGGGGGCCGGATCTCGTCGTGGAAGTGGTCGTGGGGTTCCCGAACAGGAAAGCCGTTCCAGATCGTTTTCAGCGGTGGGTTTCGATGAAACAGGCCCAGCGTTTTGCGAGGCGAGCGGCCTAAGAAGAGCCCAATACAGGCCTAAGAAGAGCTACAAAGTATAGATCATTCCTAGAGGATCTCCTTCTCCAAGAGCTGAACGAAGTACCTGTCACCACCCCTTCCGGCTGCCCCCGGAAGAAGCGGAAAAGGCATTGAAGCACCCCGAATCTACGGTGAGACAGGGTGAAACTACGCCGAACTACACCGAAAACGCTGTACACTATATACTCCTGGCTGCACTCCCCACCGATCGAGGTGACGATGAAGTGGGAACCCCTCGAGGGGCGTGACTTGCTGCTCCTGGTGCACTCGAGCGAGCTCACGGAGCGTTGGTCGGCGCATTCATGGGAGACTCTTCATATGAAAAACCCACCCAATGGACATGATCTCACCTCTTCAAGCTTGGATATATATACCTAGAACTCTGTTTTGATAGGAAAAGACCATATTTTGGGTGGTCGGTGGTCTAAAATAGAGGTCATTCAGGTTCTAGGTATACATATATAGTATGATATATAGATATATAGTATGATATATATATATATACCAGGACCTTCCAACAGGTGGTTTTTGGACACCTCGTAACCTCTAAGAGGCTATTTATAGACACCTCTTGGTGTCGGTCCTGATATGAATTCCTTCGCGCGCTCGGTGTGGACGGTCGGTGTGGGACGGTTCGGTTTAAGTCCTTTTGAGTGCGGTGGGAGGCGGGGTGGTTTGATCAACGGTTGAGGGTTCGGTCCAGCTCACCCAGGTCTGAGGTAAGAGTTGGGGTTCAACATAGTTCAACTAATTCACCCAGATGGAGCTTGCCACCAGAGCAAATGCTCGTGGTCCTTCGATCTGCGCAGACGTTCCTCGTCTTGTCGCTGTCGAACCATCCCGAGGTTTTCGTTCGAATGGAGGCCTTCCGAAGCAAGTGGACTTCCAGTTGAACAAGAAAGGGCGATATGGGCATGCATGTATTATTTACAGTATACGTAGTAGGAAGACCCCCCAATCAATGGGTACTTGGTTCCTTTTCATTCTTCCAGGGGGGGTCTCTGGGGGTTCTCCCGATCTTTTGCAGCTGTTTGGTGCCAAAGATGCGCCGACTGCTGCAGGAGGATGACTTGAACTTCCGGACGCTCCACGGGCACAGCGCGAACGGCCTCTACCTGCTGCGGAGTGGAGAGCGAGAGCCGGTGACGTTGCTGTCGACCAGCGAGGAGGTGCTCTTGGACGTGCAGTGGACCCTTGGAGCGACATGGGTCGTGTGTTCTCCCGCGCCACGGCCGCGTGTTCGAGCAGCCTGCTGCTGGTCCATGCTGGTGGCCCACATAGATCAGAAACATTCAACACACAAAGTGTCCTGAGGGTCCTGAGGCATTTATTGTTTCCATCGAGCTGGGTCGCTCTACGTTCATCCTCCCTTGGCTGTCCAAGGTGCCACAGCGGGCCCACGCCCAACGGCGACGACGCGGAGCGCCGTTCCCGTCCCAAGCGGATCCTGATGCTGCAAGGGCCGCAGCCGGCCTCGGTGGCGTTGGTCTCCTATGTCACGGGAAAGCCTGTGAGGCGCATCAACCTGGAGCCTGGGTTGGAACACGTTTGGGGGGTCGGGAAGAGGCTGGGAGCCCGGGCCGGGGTGGAAGGGTGGACATAGACGGATCTTTAGAATCTTTGGAAGATCCTTTTGGAGGGTCAAACTGTCAAACCGCTTCATATTTTCTTCCATCAACAGTCTACGGTACTTGGAAAAAGGGATTTCTTGCGCAGGACGCCTGGGATTAAACAAGTCCTCCTGCCCCACGTGGAGTTCCAAAAGCCATTCAACGACCACGGCCCCCCCAAAGGGAGCCTGATTTCACCTGACCCAATATATTGGTCTTCGACCCAGCTCGTCTTCGTGTTCGAAGCGAGGGGGTTCCCATCTTCAGATCTCCCCGGTGTCGCGGATTCCGCTTCCGATCGCCTTTCTTCGCCCGCATCGACCCGGATTTCCGGGCACTTCTTTTCGCGGCCCAGAACCTTCGAGAACCGAGGATCAGCAGATGGGCGTTCGCAACAGCATCAGCGCCTGGGAGATTAGTAGGGGCATCAGGTTGGACCATTTTTCAAGTTTTTGGATTGCACCCTACCGATCCGACTGGGTGGTGTAGGGGAGGTGCCGGTGTCACTGTCAGGTGCAGATCAGGTGTCCGGGGACCTGCGACTACTTGGAAGATCGGCCCGGGGCTGATGTAGACTCTTAGATTAACCATCCCAGATGAGGCTTTTCAATCTAGAGTCTACATAAGCCCTCAGATGAGGCTTTTCTTAGATGAGGCTTTTCAATCCAAATGGGGGGGCGTGTTTAATTTAGATCTTGGCCTGATCAGATCGACATTCATGTTGACATCGACGGCAGGCATCAGATCTCCTCCGGTTCGATCCTCTCAACGAACCGGTCCGGCCGGTCATCTTCACCGACCTGGAAGGAATCCGTGAGACACATCTGCAGCAGGAGACCCTCACCCTGTTCGGGCATGCTTGGTGATCAGATCCCCTACCCACCCTTCCGGAAACAGTGGGACCTCATTTTGTGGTGCAACACTTTGAGTAAAACTCATGTTGTTCGGGATTCTGGCGATGGAATCCATGGGCGAACAGGATCTTCCAGAGGTCCATGCCTATATCGTGCACCCTTTTAGAACCTCCCCAGGCGCGGGGTATATATCTGTGCATACATCACCCCTGCGCGGTGGATGTCGGCGCAAAGGGTAGAGCTGGTTGGATGAAGGTGTAGTGTGCTGGTTGGATTCGGCTCTTGACCCTAAATCCTCACCGATCGCCCTGCCGATCAATTGACCCCTCTGGCACCACCCCAATGTAGGCATACTGTATCTGGCATACATGGAGTGTCTGGGATATCCTTGTCTTTTCCGTCTCTGCCGCCAGCCTCCCGGACCACGGAACCCCAGGCTGCGACGCCTTCGGGCGCTCCTTCTGCGTGCACGTGCAGTCGGAGCGCGGCATGGGCCTGAGCAACGAAGCGGACCGCGCGGACCTCTTCGCGGCTCGGTCTGGACGGGGAGAGGCCCGCGAGAGTCGAAAGCTACTGGACAGTTCTGGTAGGATCATTTTCAGACCATCCATGGAGGCTGGTATATTTACTTACCCCAGGTCAACCACTCCCAATGCATGTAAAATCGTGTACGTAAATATGCCAATCCCAGACAAAGGCTCCTCGGACCACTCAAAAGTCATTGTTGTGGGGCTTGTGGAGGCGTGGGGGGAACGATCAGACAGGTCAAGTCTTAGGCTGCTCTTCCGGCAGCCTCAATCACATGATCACATCCCATGACTGATCATATGAGTGTGAAAGATATGGCATATGACACATTTGCCCCCGATTTTGTCCCAGCAATTAGACACTCGATGTTGAGGAGCGGAGTAGAGTGACAGAAAGCAATCCTGATCAACTATGCCAGTCTCACCTGGCGGTCTCTGGGTAATATGACGGTTCAACACCTTCCAGTTGGGAATCACCATTGGGTGTGTTTTGGTTCCCCCCCCATCACCCTACTCCCGTCTTGATGGGAGTGGGGTCCCACCAAATACGTCACCTCCGGTGGGGTCTTCAAGGACCTGGGACTCCAACGGTCGCGCCACGCGCGCCACGATCGATCGAGGACTTGCGGCCGCTCCCCGACGAGACGGTGGCGCACCGCGCGGCCCTGGCGGTGGCGCGGCGCGAGCGCGAGCACGTCGGACCCGGTTTGGGGTGGTGGTGGATTTGATGTGGGGGAGTAGAATGTAGACTCTTTGAGGACCTGAGGACCATACGCCCCCCATATGAAGGGGATTTTCAATTCAAATGGAGGGGTACTTTATCTACGCCAATGGCCATTGACCACTTCAGCGTTGGAATCTCAGACGACAATCAGAAGCGAAAATGGAGTTCAAACAGATAGTTTCATCACTGTTCAAGAAGCATGCTGGAGAAGCCGAATTTGTCCGATGTACGATGACTTCTGGCTCAAGCAACATGGGGGCCAATCAGTCGACTCAGCCACCAGGCTCTGTGCCTGGTGTGGGATCTGGCAGTGGCATTGCAGCTCAGACGCCCAGCGCTGTGCATGCGATTCAGCCGATTCAGTTGACACCTGTCACGGCACCTGGACAGGTGGTCATGCAGACCAAGAAAGAAATTGACCCAGAGACTGCGCGGACATGCAGTACATTCGGACCAAAGTCCCTGAGCTCCTAAACCTAGAGTTTGGGAGCGTGGATCCTCTTGACCAGGAGGCCTCTCTGCGCTTCAAGGCTATCACGTCATCAACAATCAGGACGATAGAGGGGCTATCCCTTGCAGACAAGGGTCGTGTATTCACACACTCCATCGGGCTCAAGTCAAACGAGGTACTTCCGGATTCATTTTTTATCCTGAGGCACAAAATTGTTGGCAATGTGCCACGCAACTTCACCAACAGACTTTCACAGCTCATGGACGAAGCATCGGGCAGGTGGCCTGGAGTGAAGAAGGGATTGATGCTCTACAACACTAAGCTCCCTGTCTTGCTGGTAGAAGCAGAGGCAGGAGGGTATTCGGCTGTATCAGTGATACTGGCCTTATACGGCTTTCCTCATCCAGACAGGCTGGCAGAAGGCGGAACCATCAAGAGAGATGCTGGACCATCACTGGCAACCAGTGCGGGACAGGTACAAACCAGCAGTCCTTTTGTGATGAAGGGAGCCGTCTCAGGACAGCAAGTGCCACAGGTGCAGGCACATGGAGCATCCTTGACGGGACAACAGGTGGCAGGCATGCCGAGCCATTTGGGACAGCGTGCAAGCTATCAAGATGTGGCCTGGGGCAGCGCGCCAACACCAGGTGTGGGTCCAAAGCTCATCATGACGGGTCTCTCAGCTGATGACAGGAGGAGACTCAACATGAGGATGAACAATGAGATTCCGGAGTGGATGATGAATTCACTCTCCAGCATCACACCAGATAGCCGCACGGGAGATCAGGTGGCTCAAGTGATGATCAACTTCTACAACGAAGAAGTTCGAAGAAGTGAGGCTTGTGAATATTATGCCATGCTGCTGATGTCATCCAGTGGTGGACTGCGGCCATCCAACCAGTTCGAGCTCCTCAAGGAGTTTGAAAAGTGCTTGGACATGATCGAGAACCTGGCGAGAGGACAAACGTCTTTCAGGTTCCATGAAGCCGCAGAAATGGGGAGCTTGTACCAGGAGAAGTCATTCGAGAGCTCCTTCGGCTATGATGCATCAGCCATGGAGACAAGGGGAGGGGTGGAATCGATTTTTGAGAGTGCATTCGGTGCACCATCATCTCATGCCAGCTACGGGAGTGCTCGAGCTGCTCAACAGTCAGGGCATGCCTTTGACACCAGAGGCTCACACATGCTGGGAGAGAAAAGGCATATGGCAGAAGAGACCGGGCTTTCGCAAGTCAGGAAGTCTGCAAAGCTCGGGATAGGACATCCAGAGTTGTCAGCTCATGCAGCGAGTTCATCACAAGCAGCAAACATGAGTCCTATTGGGGCAGGGGCATTTGGAGCTGTTTCTTCGCAAGAGTCTACCGCAATGTTGGAGCGCTCTATGGCTGTGTTCGCAGCTGAACGATCCACATCAAACATCCCAGACTTGAGAACCATCCTATTATCCTCAGACCATCACAGCCATGCCTTCGCCCAACCAGTGCATGCTGAGGTCTTGACCAAGTATTTCCGATGCAGCTACCTGCCACGGGGAGTTGGCACCACACCCCACGAAATCAGACGCTGCCGTATTCGGACAGCACATGAACGACATCCATGTATCATGGCCAACTATGCTTTCTCGCATGAATTGCCTGAGCATGTCCTCCGGGAGGGGGGGCTTATCGGCACTTTCATCCTAAACGAGGGGCAGATCAGATGGCTTGCACAAGTAGAGTTGGCTCTTTTGTTTGGTGTACGGTCAACTTGCCACATCCCGATGGACGCAAAAGCGGCATACCATATGCTGGGTAACGCTATTGCAATCCCACACGCCATTCTGTGTTTACTCAACGGAATAGCTCAACTTGAGTGCATTAAATGGACACAGATCCCAATATGGCTTCTACAAGATGCACTGGGTTCACGGTTTACCAAAGACAACATTTCTGTCCAAGAATGCACGTCGACGCAAGCCTTGATCATCCTGCGCCAGGAGGTTTCGCCAACGCAGAGCTGGGAGTCGCAAGCCCAGTCATTCCATACTTTGCGAGTTCACCATGAACATGGACACACTTCCTTCAAATTAGGCTCAGATGTCTCGGTCCTCGATTTCCTTCGGTCCGTTTTTCGCCTGCCTACCAATGCTGTGGCTGTGTGGAAGCCTCGGGGAGATGCAGACGTCAAGCTACCACTGTTTGCAGCAGACACTGCTCCCAAAGACGGGATGCTGATTGAGAATCTGTGGCTGGGCCCGATGATCCTGACAGAAAAGCTTTTCGAAGATCACTCCAGCACAATCATCATTGCTTTCACACCGGGAGGCCTTTTCGCCGTTCGAAGAGCGTCACGGCACAGCCGTATTTCAAAGGGTCCTTGCAAGCACAGAACCATTTAGGTCAGACACATGCCATTGCGGAGTCGCCGCCAGCCATAGTGTTGATCCAAGGGGAAAAACCTCCATCAGAACTCGAATTTCAACCATTCCAGGACCTACGTTGGAATGCAGTCCCCGAAGGGTTCATCTGTGTCTCCACTATGTTCCAGGCTCTGTCGACACTCAAAGCTTTTTGCCATCTAGGTCTCGACAATGTCCTTCGGTCTTTTGGCTGGAAGAGTGTGCTGGATTCGAGTGGGGACGATCAAAATCAGAAAGGGACTTCCGTCCAAATGTCCATCCAGAGGTATGAGTCTCACACGGCCATCCCTTTGCAAGACCTGCAGAATGTCCTAACCACAAGGCTTTTCATTGTAGTCGTGAACCACAAACTTCAGCATCATACCTCTGGTATACGGGTTCGTGTCAAGTTGTGGGATTCTGTAATCTGGTCAGGGTTTGTCCAGTCCACAACTCCCACTGGTGTCTTTGCAGATGCATGGTCTTTCGCGGCGAAATACTGGGGACGGAAGGATCAACTCCGCACCATCATCAAAGGTCAGAGGACAAACCCTGAATGGGAGTTCAGCCATTATCTTGACCCGCAGCTACCCACGCCTGAGGAAGTAAGAATCCATTTGGTTATGGAATTGCATGGTGGGGGGTCAAAAGCCGATGCAGTCCTAAAGGCTGAGGAAGATTTCGCCGCCCGGGTCCTCCAAGTCGGTTTTGACCCACTAGACTCCAAGCAATTTGTACAACAACTGTACCAAGAAGCCGGAGCAGCTAGAATGCGGACACTGCTGAACATCCCAGATGAAGAAACTTTTGCGCAGCAATGCGGCATATTAGCTAAACAGACGAGAATTGCTTTGCCACAACGCCATGATCTCGATGAAGCACGACTCAAACGGATCAAGTCAAGCTGGCAAGCCCAGCAGGGTCAGATGAGCAATTTAGTGGCCGATACTTTGCGCATCGTCCCAGGCACATTTTGCTTGCATGATGGCACAGAGGTCCCCATATGTGACTTCCGAAAGGAACCACTTCAGGGAGTGCTTTTTTCGGAACCGGATGAAGTTGCTGCCGTGGTCCGCCAACATGACAAGATACACCAGGCTTTCATGGTCATTGTTCCAGGTCCCACATGTCCGCTGAACCATGAGTCATGCCAGAGATTTCACATCCCGGTCTTGCTCCCGAATGAATCACGTGTGATCATCACTGCCTGCTGCCATTCGATAGGTAAGAATACAGTAACGGTCAAGCTGTCTGACGGGGATGCTGCGGTCGTGACAGAGACAACCAAAACCATGATTGTTGTCTGGAAGCATGAGTGTCCGGTAGAAACTTGGGATGCCATGATCGCTGCGCCTATCCATACCATCTTCAAAACCATGAACGTGCTGCCAGCACAGGTCATCTCAGGTCCTCCCTTTGGAAGAAGTTGGAGAGCAGCACGACAACAAGTCACACCAGAGTCGGCAGAATCTTTCTACTTTATGCAAGAGTCCTCGCGCCGTCCCTCCATACACTGATAATCCGGTTTGTCCGGCATTTATGTGACACCAAAGTCTGACTTCTCCAACCTGGCCGATGCACGATTCTCGGTGGTTTGGACCCAATATAGCAACTCATCGGAAGCCGTCGCTAAAGCTGATACCCTGGACTACACGTTAGGGGTGGTTCGATCGAATAAGGAAAAGCCAGCATATGGGATACGTGCCCTTGCGAAGGACTTCGACGCTTTGTGGCAATGTCTGCGACCATCTGATCCGAAGCCCTCACAGGTTCAAGGGGAGGCGCTCTATAAGATTTCCCCAGTACCTACTGGTGCAACAAACGAGGATGTCCAGAAATGGCTAGGACTCGAGAAACTGCCACTACGCCCGCTCAGGGCCCTGAACACATCAACATGGCTTTTGGTAGGAAAAGCCGATGTATCACCAGCCACGTTTACATGGAAGCAAAACGCCATCTTGCTCCATCGTGTTGAGAGTAATTATGCCAAGTCAAAGTCTGCTATTTTAGCAGGCGGCAAGCGCCCTGTGGAATCCACACGAAGAGTATGGCGCCCGGAGAGCACATCAAATTCGGAGGTCGACCCACTCACCATATTCGACCCATGGGCTCAACCTGCAGCAAGCCGCCGTCATAGCGAGTGGAGC